CAAACTCACTCATGGACTGCACATCGTCTGAAGCAATGAACCTGTCTGAAGTCAAACATCCTGTGTTTCACCATGATGTCAACAATTGGAAATTACTTTTCCTTAATCCTACATTATTATTAAATTCAGTTATTTAGGCATACAAAATGTGTTTTTACATATTTTGTGCGTCTGTCTTCCCTGTCTTCCTGTTTGCACACACAAACTGGAAACAGTCGGGCTCTTTTAATGACCGTAATGTTTCTGCTGTGCAATTTAGAATTGAATATGACCTGTTCTCATACTTTTGATGGCAACGAAACTAAAGCAAAAAAGTTAAGATAGAAAAAGAGAGGAAGAGTGAAAAGCAGTAACTTAGGCTCCAGCAGGAGTGGAAACTCCACAGGCCTTCTCAGACTAGAGAAATGTGAAGAGATGGTGAAGGAGAAGCCACAGGTTTCCCATTGCAACTGCACTGGGGCCTGGCGTTAGTGGTCGGAGACGCACCAGTTCCAGAGAGGTCGGTTTACAGATCTGAATTCCTTTTTTCCAGAGGCTCAGGGAAATCCTTGCCTGAGAAACTGAAACCCGCGTGGTCAAAATCCAAATTTGGAGAGAACGTGACAGCTCCCAAATATTGGATGGCCTGATGCACTTTTGACTTTCGGCCTCTCTTCACTCTGGTACTAGTTCTTCCAACGCCTTTGAGAACGGTTTCCTCCTGGCCTTTCAAGGAGAGGAGGAAGAAAGAAAAGGGTTTATAGAAGAAAAAGAAAGGGTGTTTTTTTTCCGCCTCCAACGAGAAGGGGTAATCTAATTTCGTAGGAGTGCACAGAAGGAAAAAAGAAAAAGAGACGCACCCTAATCAACCATGAAGGGACTCGACCCCTCAATCTCCTGATCCGAAGTCAAACGCTTTGTCCATTAGGCCATGTGGTCTCCCACAGCACCTCTTTCTTGCAACATAGAACAATCTTTCTTCTCGTCCCCAGTGTTTCGTTTAAGCTGCATACAAATGACAAAATGGCGATGGCGTTTGCGCCGCCCATGCTTAATCATCATCGGAAGAAAGAGAACTAGATTATGAGGGTTATTTGGGGCCACAGAATAGGGTTTTATGAAGGGTTAGGATCGACAAATATTTTGGTGTTGTATATGGCCACTTAATGGAGAGAAAAGTCGTTTGCTCTACGCTTCCCGAAGCAGGAAAAGTGGAGTGTGTCGGACTTAAAAGATGCCAAAGTATTGTGATGGATTTTGGACGTGACCCGCGCCATTGTGCACACAAGAAGCACCAGCAGAAAACAGCCCCGGCCTCGTCTTCCACTCCAGCACCCAGCCCCTCCCCCTTCCCTTTACCAGAAGCCTCCTGACTTAGAAACAACTTTCGGGCTTCTGCATAAGCGCAGTTCTCCACCCAGTTACATCAACCTAATGGTCTCTCCCCCCATGCATTTCAGGCCCAAAAGCTATTATAAACTCTAGCAAACCCAGCCCCGGGCTGTCCTCCATTTTGAATACAGCCCGGCGATTTCTTTCTTTAATAAAGCTTGAACGGTACCCGGCATCTCGGCTCACTTTCTTTCATATTGCATATTGTCAGCATTGAGGGATATATCTTATTAAGCTTACCTAGGGTTTCTCCACTATTGATGCTCACACACATTCACTATACATATTACATGTACTTGTAGTGTCTGCCTAGAGAGTTGTCAAGGAAACTGCACCTGCAAGCACCACAAGGCAACTCCTGCACCATTACCCTTATTGCTGCCCTGCGCGGATCTCTGCAGGCCCCCAGACATGACAATTTTCCCCTCCCCACGCTCTTCTGCCACTTTTCTCTGATATAATGTGAAATCAGGGCACTTTTTATTTGTTTGAAAAAGAAGAGAATACTTTTCCTGGGGCTTCTCAGAGGTGTAGAGAGGTCCAGGGCCATTACTATCTTTTGAGGCTCCCATATGTTAAGAAGTGAAGAAACACAATTGGAATTAAAAAATTTTGCCTATTAATAATTTTTACATATAATAGATAAATCACCACAAACACATGATACAATAAAATTCTATGGAGAAGGTATTTATAGTGTTCTGTAGATTGCTTGGCCCCATAATGGGATATAGATTTAAAGTTATATTTTGGATGGCTTTTTTCAAATCTGTCAGTGAATCTCTGTGACCACATGTACCTTGTTTGAAGATAATGTCAGCAGTCTACACATAAAGCATTTCCTTAATTTTCCTAAATCCCAGACACTAGGAGCAATGGCACTCATGATTCATTTGTGATAAGTCTTGGGTTTTTTTGATTAGTTAATTAGCAGCTTCTGGAGCACAGAAATGGGGCCTTTTACATAGTGTTTCTTTCCCTGTCCATAGAATAACATCTGGCAAATATTAACATCTCAATTAAAAATTAGGTGAATTTCTCATATACTTCAAAAAAAAATCAGCAATCATCTTTAATCTGGGGATGATTCAACAAGAGGATTCTTCTATCCTGCAAAAAATCAAATATGGATTTCTTGCTCTCTTTCTTCCTGGAGGCAGGAAGATTGGTTAAAAGGATATTGCAATATTCAAATGCCACCATAGTGGCTAGACCATCATGGGTTTAGTGATTGTGGAGGGAGTGAGAAGTGGTTTAATTCTGGATATGTTTTCAAGGATTTGCTGATTGGATTGGGGGCGTGAGACAGATAAGTCATCTACATCTCCAAGCTTTTTTTTTTTTGCTGTAACAACTAAGTTTCCATTTACTGAGATGTGGATGACTGTAGGAGAACCATTTTGAGAGCGAAGTGTGCATGTGTGTGTGTGTTTGTGTGTGTGTGGGGGGGGGCAGTTTAGGATCTGTTTGGACATGGTAAGTTGTATATTAAACATCCAAGTGGAGATCACCAGTATGGAGTAGTCAGACTTCAGAGAAATGACTTGCTGAAAAATAAACCAATCAAGGAGCACACCACAAACATGAAAACTCCAGAGATTTTTTTTAATGAGAGAATTTGATCATATTCTTCACTGACAATTGGTCAGTGGTTTCCTATCGCTTACAGAAAAATAAAATCTAAATCTATTTGTACTGTGTACTCATCCCCTTATGACCTGCCTTTTCACTATCTGTTCTGCCATAACTCCAGACTGTATCGTAAGGCCTAAAATTCCAAGTGTTGCCTTGACATCTTTGACTCTCACAGGGTTCCCAAAAGGCCTAAACAAAAGTTCCTCTGTTTTGCTAGAAAATGCCCCAAATGAGCAGGAAAGGCTCCCTACCTGGGCCACCTGGGTTCCCTAATCAGCCAGACCAGCTGCATCCCACCCAGCCTAATGTGTTTCATCTCCCTGCAAGCCCTCCAAACTGTTGAAACAAGCCAATGACATACTCTGGGGGTAAACAGCGGTCATCCCACTCTCATTACTACAAAGCCTGCTTCTTAAAACTCTTTCTGGTTCATTCTGCTCCTGATTGCAACCCCTATGGCCCTGAATGGCCTGCAGGGCCCTCTTCTCCCAGGCTGTGAGTATATGAGGGGACTTCGAAAAGTTCATGGAAAGATTCATATTATCTTTTAATTCCATTTTTACATGAACTTTTTGAATTACCCTCACATGTGACTAATAAATTGCTATCAATCTTATCTATATCCAGTGTCAGGTGTCATGTGTTCAGACATCATACTATTTAGGGTGGGAGAGTTCTCCTTTATCAACAGGTAAGGGGGAGGTGATTGGAACAGAATAACTGGCTGACAACAGTGGTGCTGCCTCTTTGGCAACAGAAGAAATCTGTTTATTATGGTTTATTATAAATTAGGTTTATTATGAGAAGCAGTAACACGAGAGTTAATAATTAGGTGTCCGTGAAAGATATTCGAAGAGATCGTAAGCTATATCACGTTTATTTTCCAGAAATAGTTTTAAATCTGGAGGAATAATAAAAAAAGGTTGGGTTCATTTTATTTTCTTACCTTATTTCGAAACTGAGCTCCAGAATTTTAACTAAAGGGAACAAAAATTGTAGCAGAGGATGGTTTCGATCCATCGACCTCTGGGTTATGGGCCCAGCACGCTTCCGCTGCGCCACTCTGCTGGCCACTAAAACCTGTCACCTAATAACTTCTTTAACTCTGTTTAAAGCGTTGTGCTCATACTCTCACATTTCAAAAGGAAAAACAACAAAAAGAAACACCTTGCGGTAAATCGCCTATTTATCTTAATACCTTGGTTCCTACGAGTTGCTAATTCTCTTCGGAATAATGTTGCTACCAGAATCAAAGAGAAAACAAAACTAGTAATAGAGAAGTAAACATTTATAAACCAGTAAATTACTGGATGCAGATGTGAGAGGTGGCTAGATATTTAAATGTGAATTACAAGCTTGAGAGAAAACAATCCGGAATGTAACCTCCGCGCGGCGGGTGGGCGATAATTCTACCACGGAATCACCAACCACGTATTTGCCTTAGAGAAGAAAACCTTTTTTGTCAGATTTCCCTCGGCTTGGTGCTGGAGAGGGTGAAATGTTGCAGTTTTCAGACTCTTCCGCAGGGGAGGTTGGGTCTGGTGGGGCTGTGCTACAGAGCGGCAATTCCGGAGGCACTGTAAACGTGGGGACAAAGCTGGACTCGCACTCAACGGGGGTTGCTGCAGTTCCTGTAGTGTGGGCCAACCTCCTGTGCAATCGTCCTACAGCGTCCCAAGCAGCAAATGGTAATCATTGAAAAATGTTAATTTCTTTACTCTGACGTAGTTGCTAAAACGGCCCGAAAATTCCCGTTTGGAAATGCAGGACTTTCAGGGAACGCCTCTGCAAAGAGCGAGGTTGGTGGGCGGGGACCCGAGAGAGCCTTGGTGACGTCATCTTGAGCTGGGCCTGGAGGGGTCGGACCAGCGGGCCAAACGGAAGTTCCCGCTTGCGCGTGTTCAGTCTCCAATTAGGTCCGATAACCATGCATATAAAGGAAGTGCTGCCCTGCTCAAGCTTCACTTTGCTGAAGCTAGTGCTGCTGATTAGCTATGTCTGGACGTGGGAAAGGTGGAAAGGGCTTGGGGAAGGGAGGCGCTAAACGCCACCGCAAGGTCCTGCGCGACAACATCCAGGGTATCACTAAACCCGCCATTCGGCGCCTGGCCCGCCGCGGCGGCGTCAAGCGCATCTCCGGCCTCATCTACGAGGAGACCCGCGGGGTCCTCAAGGTGTTCCTGGAGAACGTGATCCGCGACGCCGTCACCTACACGGAGCACGCCAAGCGCAAGACTGTTACCGCCATGGACGTGGTCTACGCGCTCAAGCGCCAGGGACGCACCCTCTATGGCTTCGGCGGCTAAGCTGACTACTTGAGGCTCTCCACGAACTCCATTTCTCAAAGGCCCTTTTCAGGGCCGCCCACATTTTTCCGTAAAAGAGCTGCCATGTTTTGCGTTGCTGCTGAATTTTTTAGGCCGGTGTTTCTTAAGGCGTGTAGTGACTGCGCTGAAAAGTTCAGGTAATATTTCTCGGCTTGAATCTAGTGTTTTGACACCCAGGTACAGCGAATGTTATGCTTTACTTTTTGCTTTATGGTAACTCACTTGTCTCTGCTACTGTACAAGCTTTCCCGGGCACCCTAACGTTCAAGGTGGCAGTAAGGCAGCTGGTGTGGGTGCACATCCGCCCCGAACGCTTCCTTCAAGAACGCACGACTTTGGGTACTTCCGAAAGGTCGGGTTCGCTGCCCGAGAGCGCGGGGCGATCTTGCTCTGCCTGATGGTGCTCAAGATGGCGGGGAGGGCGAGGAACAAAGAAAGCCCGCGCCCCGGCGGCGGGAAGGGAAGCCCTGGAACAAAGGCCAATTAGCGTAACGAGCCGTCCTCACTGGGCAGGAGCGCGGGCCTACGTCCAGAGGCACCGCGTCCGCTCTGCCTTTCCCATGTGAAGTAAACCTGGCGTACAAAAAGCTATGGAAGAGGAGCTAATAAACACGAACGAGATGAGCTGGCTAGTATGCCGCATAGACTAATGTATTTCTAACTTACTACGGAAGCATTAAGACAAAAAAGTAGAAAGGATATTGCTTGATTAACTTCATGTGTTGCATAGAAACATCTAAATTAAACAATGGGTAGACATCTAAATTAAATAATTAACAAATAGCGATGACAGCATTATTTAAAAGTGCATGCAGGCATCAGGACATTTCACCCCAAAGTAGACACTAATTAAGCAAAACAAAAGAACTCCGACATAATCACACGGCTACTCGAATTTCCTAAGATCTTAGCCCATATTAAGTACATTACAAATATTCTTCAATAGCAGATGTGGTTTGTTGAGAAAATATTAAATCAGCTTTTGGTTCTGTCTCAAGTCTTAATCGAAGACAGTCTCCTCCGTCCGCCTCTTTCCTCGTTTTTTTTTTTTTGACATTGATTTGCTGGAGATCAGATCTATAGAATGTTCTTTGGTTTTTTTTTTTTCCGGATGGGGCCATTTTACTTGGCTTCTATACTCTACACGCCATGTAAAGTGAAGTGATTTCCATAGACTTAATTGAAATCAGGTTAATGTTCTTGTCAGGAACAGTTTATAGATAATATGTACATACAATTGCACCACATCAGGGGCACATTATGTCTGGTTTATCTAAATTCAAGATGATCAATCGCCTGTTTAGGATGATAGTTCCATTGAAAAATAAAGTTTTTCTCCTTGTGGTCAGCAAGTAATCAGGGTGATACTTTCAAACTGGAAAAATCAATGGAGTTATTTTGAATGTCATCTTTTTTAGAGATATGGACTCGTGCATAAACAAACAGATGTTATCAGAGCTAAGGCACTGGACTGAGGAGAAAAACGTATGAGAATGTTAATTTAACAAACAAAAAAATCGAGCACATAGCATGTGCCAGGCACTGTTCTATGGTCTGGGAATTACATCAGTGAATGACTGAACAAAACACTGTTTCTATATTCATGGAGTGTACTGGGTGTGGCACGCAAGCAAAATAAATAAAACGGTGTGTTAGATGGTGCTAAGTGCTATGAAGATCACTGAAGCAGGAAAAGACATAATGTGCAGAGGGTGGAGGTGATATTTTAAATTATATGATGATGGAAACTTTACTGATAAGTAATGGTTGAGGAAAAAAAGATATTGAAAAAGTGAAGGAGTATTCCAAATAGAACACCAAATAGGAAGGCCTGGAGGTAGCAAGTAGGTATTGTGGCTGGTCAGAGGAAGGGTGGGAAAGGAAAGGAGATAAGGTCTTAGAGGCAAATGGAGGCCAGTAGTTCCTACATGGTTTTGTAGTACAATGTAACTACTTTGACTTTTATCTTTCCTTTTTGTCTTTTTTCGTGTCCGGCAACGGATCGCAACCCTCAGTGTCGCGCCCGTACCGGACCTGACCGGCAACGAGATCGCAACCCTCGGTGTTGCGTCCGCACCTCGCTCAGCCAGTGAGCGGGAACCGGTCTGTATGTGGGATCCGAACCCTCGGCGGGAGCACTGCTGCGCTCTCAAACGGCGCACTGTAGCAGTGCGCCACCGGGCCGGCCTCTGGTCTGTATTTTTAAATGGTCTACGTAAGGGCCAACCCGTGGCTCACTTGGGAGAGCATGGTCCTGACAACACCAAGTCAAGGGTTAAGATCCCCTTACTGGTCATCTTTAAAAAAAATTAATAAATAAAAATGAATGGTCTATGTGAATGCCTGATGGGGAATATACTGTGATGGGGCCAGGGTAGGAGCCAGACCAGTTATAAGGAAGCTACTATAATCACACAGTTGAGAGATTACGGTAGCTTGGACCCGTGTGTTAATGGAGGAGGCTGTGAAAAGTGGTTGCGTTCTGTATACATTTTGAAGGCAGGGTTGATAGTTTTTCCTGAACTAGCGAATGTAGGGCATAAGAGAGAAAATTCATGGATGATTCCAGTGATTTTAGCCACAGCAACTGGGATGGAGATATAGCAATTGCTAAAATTGGGAAGAATATGGAAGAAACACGTTTTAGAGAGAATTACAGGCTTAGTTTTGGACATCCAAAGTTTGAGGTGCCTGTTACATATCTAAGAGGAAGATATGAAATATGCAGTTGGATATGAATCTGGAGTTTAGGGAAGAGGTCTGGGCTGGAAACAACTGAGAGTTGTCAGAGTATAACTGCATGAGAGTAAAAAAGCCACAGATCAGATAAAGTCTCTTAGAAAAGAGAGTTGATAATGAACAGAAGCAGTTCAAGAACTTAGCACTAACAGAGAAATAAGAAGTGTTTGTTCTGTGTTCATGACATGTGGATTCATAACTTACACTTTTACAAGTACTTTCTCCAGTAATTCTCCCTTTCTCCTGTAATTCTCAGAACAAACAGAATAAATATTATCTTTATTTTACAGATGTGGAAAAATACCCTCAAGTAATAAAAGTATACAATAAAATTGAAATTCTCACTCAAATAATCTATTAAAGTTAGAGCCATGGGGACATCATTTTGGGGATCCAGTAATAAATATACATACCCTCTCCAAAAGGCACCTACTCTGCTCAAATATTTTACATGCAATTTCAGGGAGTTCTCAGGCTTCCTGAAGCTTATTTGTGGAACTCAGCTTTAAAGAGTCCTATGTCTGATGCTGCATTTTCTCTTTTCTTAGCTCAGCTGCTCCTAATCGCTCTGAGATAAATCTTGACAACAAGAACAAAAATCTCTGTCTGATTCTGTTGAACTGATGTTTCCTTATTGCAGTGGAGATACTGCCTATATGTTGGTGATACGGAAATTAAATCACCAGCTCACAGATGTTCCTTGAACTCGAGACTCAGAGACTCTGCTACCAACTTGACATTTCTACTTGAAAGTCCAATTAATATCCACTTCCAACTTAAACAGGCCTCAAACAGAATTTTTTTGTTTTGTTTTGTTTTGTGGCTGGCTGGCACAGGGATCAAACCCCAGACCTTGATGTTGTCAGCACCATGCTCTAACCATCTGAGCAGCTGGCCAGCCCAGAATTTCTAATATTACCTCTGCAAAGACAGCTCCTCTCATCTTGAAATTGGTGACTGATAAATCTACCCTTTCATTTGGAGTAATTTTTTTGTCCTTTTTCTTTCACACCCTACATCCAATCCATCAATAAGTCAACAGCTCTACCTTGAAAACACAAACAGAATTCAACCATTTCTTATTCCTACTACTGCTAACACTCTGGTCACTTCCTTGCCATTTCTTACCTTCATTACTGCCAGACCCTCATCACCTGGTTCCACAGCAGCCAGAAGGATTGCAATAAAGGGCAAATCAGATCAGGTCATTCTGCTGAAAACCCTCCAAAGGCTCTCATTTCACTCAAAGTAAAACCCAATTCTTTCAGTGGCCTACAAGGCCCGACTCTCTGGTCATTGTTATGTTTTGGGCCTCAAATCCAGCTATTCTTCCGCTCCTTTTTAAGCCCAGCTCCACTAGCCCCTCGAACTTTCTTGAAGTACATCTCTCTCTCGGGGACTATGTAGTGACGGTTTCCTCTGCTTCGTCTGCTCAGCTTCCAGATGTCTGTAGGTATTGCTCCCTAACTTCCCTCAGGTTTGTATTCCAATATCCTCTCACTAAGGCTGTCTGTGACCACGCCGTGTTAACATTGCAAACTCCACCCCCACCCCCTGCGCTTTATTTTAACTGCCCTTGAAAGGCCTGCAGTCTATTTAGAGAGTCAAAACATACCCCCATAAAAAGCGAAACAGAAATGGAATACTATATGGGATGTCAGAAGAGAGTATAATTCAAGTTAGTATCAGGAGTGATAGCTGATGCATTGGATACGAGGCTTGGTGTAAGGTTTTGGAGGCCTGTTAAGGCAATGACAGGAATCTGGAATTTACTCTGGATAACAGGGAGCCACGCAAAATCTGCCCTTCCCTCCATTGGTTCTGATTATGGAACAATTCTCTAATCTTTGACAAGAAACAGTTGTTGCACTGAGCATATTGTATTTAAATTATGTGTTTAATTTATCTGAACAAGTTCCTGGATGAGTGAAAATGAATGAAATGAATACAAATCTAAATGAATTTACAATTGCAAAGTGCCCTACTTGTCTTTTCTGGGTATCTACAGACTATTGGGTTATAAGGGGTGGTTTTTTTTTTTAAATTAAAAAAATTTTTTTCTTTTAACCAAATTTCCAATACAAGCAACATTTAATAGCTCATGGGAGGGAGTCTGTCTTTTTTGTGGAAGGTGAAGTGACTTTTCCACTTTGAATGTTATTATTTATTCATATTCTAGATACATATAGAAGAATATATTAAATACATGTACAAGTTGTAAAGATAATATGATGACCATGCTTGAACCCAATTACCAACCAGGTATCTTTTTTTTTTTTTTTTTTTAAAGATGACCGGTAAGGGGATCTCAACCCTTGGCTTGGTGTTGTCAGTACCACGCTCAGCCAGTGAGCAAACCGGCCATCCCTACATAGGATCCGAACCCATGGCCTTGGTGTTATCAGCACCGCACTCTACCGAGTGAGCCACAGGCTGGCCCAATTACCAACCAGGTATAACAAATATTACCAATAATTGCTTTGACCTAATCTCATCCTCCTGCTACCCCACCAGAGGTAATTGTGACCCTGAATTCTGTCCATTTCTTGCCTTAAAAATTCCTTACACTTTTCTGGCCTTTACAATCACATTGCATATTTTCCTTAAATTTCCCATTTGATCTTCTTTGAGGTCACTGTCCAATTATTTTATAAACAACAACATACACTTAGAGTCACATAACTTACTAAGTAGTTTACAAATAATTCTCAGTTTTTTTGTTTTATGCTAGGATATTTTTCTCTTGCCTTATTTTTCAATTTTCTTAGTAAGGAATTATATCTTTAAAATATCTTATTATTTTTATACCTTAAAAATATCTTATTCATTTTTTTTTATACCAACGGCCTAGCATTACCTGGTATATAGTTAGTGCTCAATAATTATTTGTTGAGTTAATTACTTTTAATTTTGTTAACATAGGACAAAGAAACTTGGAGATAAAAGGGTCTGAGGGACAACTTCCTGTTTCTTAACCACACCATTGGGAGTTTTAGAGAGAACCAAATAGAAAAAGTTTTAAGAGGAGTTGGTTCTTTCACCCAAAAAAATGTAGCAGCACTGTAGTGTTTTGGCATTGATCCTTCTAGTTGTTATTTTCTTTGTTTTTGTTTTTCCTATGACTACATTATGTGTGCATATGTGTGTAATATAATATAATGTATATAAATGAGAATACACTATTTGAAAAATTGCTTTTCCCTCAGACTAGCCCATAAGCATATTTTATGTTTGTTTATTTTTTCTACAACATTATTTTTAACAGCTACATACTATTTCTTTATGGATAAAACCTACTTTTAGCCAAACTCCTAGGCTTCAACATTTATATTTTTAGTTTTTAGCTAAAGTAAACAAAAATATGAACAATATTAAAATTAGAAGTTAGAATTAATATGACTGTGTATATTATTAAATATATGCAAAAAAGGAAAGATAGTAACCTAGGATGGGGACTACATTTTGCACCTGGATGAGTAAGCATAGCTGGGGAGTATAATGAGGACATTCTAGGTCCTGCTGAGTTTGAGGTGCCTGTGGGATACTTGGTTAATGTAGTATTTAGAAGCCTAATTGCCATACTTCTTGTTATGGGTTGAATTGTTCCCCTCTTGCCCCCTTTTTATGTTGAAATAGTTCTAACACCTAGAACCTGAAAACGTAAGTGTATTTGCAGATAGGGTTTTTAAAGATGTAAAATGAAGTTATCGGGGTGGGTCCTTATCCAATGTGAGATGTCTCTATAAGAGGAGATTAGGACACAGACACACACAGAGAAAAGACCATGTGAGACTCAGGGAGAAGATGGCCATCTACAAGCCAAGGAGAGAGGCCCCAGAAAAAATCAAACCTGCTCACAAATTTGATATTTAATTTCTAGCTTTCAGGATTGTAAGAACATAAATTTGTTTAAGCTACCCAGTCTATGATACTGTGTTATGGCAGCCCTAGAAAACTACTATACTTCTCAAACATTTTCATTCTATGATTGTTTTTCTCTGGCTCTTTTCTTTTTCTTTCTTTCTTTCTTTCTTTTTTTTTTTGAGAGGCTGGCTGGTAAGGAGGTCCAAACCCTTGACCTTGGTGTTGTAACACCATGCTCTCACCTTCTCTGGCTCTTTTCATTGTTATGCCTGCTTCTCTACCCTAGAAAGATAGACAAACACACAGAACACAGACACAAACCCACAACTAGTGTATGCTGTAAGGGAGAATACTTATCTTTTCCTTTTACCTATCTTAGGTTCATTGGCTGGGGCCCCTGTAACAAAAGACAGATTAACAAAGGTGATGAAGAGTGGAGAGTCATGGTAGAGAAATGCAGTAGGACAAAAAGAAGAGAATGAGCTAAGGGTAATGAATGAGGGGAAACCTAGCAAGGCCTCTTGGTTCAGATTCCTCTCAGCCTCCACGGGTCTCACTTGAGGGTCTTATGATGTGCTGTAGGGGAGAGGAATTGGGAAAGGTCAAGGGGATCTTCCTGCACATGCTGTTTCTCAAATTCCTTCACCTTAAAATATTCACTATGTCAAGGTGCCATATTTGGGGGTAGCGTGTCCTGAAAACCATCAATATATACACTGCTGAGGGTAGATGAGAGGTAGTAACCCTCTTTTTTGTAGATTTCAGGAATGATTTACTATAGGAATGACAAATACAGAGGTAGCAGCTACTTGAATCACAGCCTAAAGATAATGTTACCTCTACTTTGGGGGTTAGGTTGTATTCTTCAGCTTTTTAAGCAAAGGAATTTACATGAATTAGTTTCCTTTGAAGTGACCAGTGACTCAGGAATAGAATGGATTCAGGCCAGTTTGGCCCTAATTAGGCAGCTAATTTCCTATGTTCCAGTTAAAAAGCATACTTATCAAGTTGCAGAAGTCCATCTAAAAAAAATGGTTCCAGTTTGGAGGTATGAGGGAAACGTTAAATAATGGGGAGAAAATAAATGTTGGCGGGTTAGCAAAATGGGCAGAAAGCACGGGGAGAAAAAAATTTAAAAATTACTGAGCAATTTTTATTTGAGTTTCTAGGTTTCTTTCCTTACAGCCCAATGCATCTGACTATTGAAGGAGGTACCCATAGTTCTAGTCAGGGCATGGGAAGGTTCCTGGAAAATATGACATGTGCTGCTTGAACCGGAAAGCAAAGGCAGGAAAGTCCAACAGCCACAGGATCTAGGATGTCCTCAGAACAAGCCAGAGGAAAGAAATGGTTCTAAAGAGAGCACTGGACTATTAGAAAGTTCTTGTTTACACTGCCAGACAAGGAACCCTAACTGGCATCAAAAGCTAGTAGGATTGGCAAACTTCTGCCAGGTTCAAGGCCTCAGAATTCTGAACTTCCAATGTGGGCAGGACAAAGGTGCCTTCCCCATCGCTTCAAGCAGAGGCTTTAGCCACAGCTCACACTGTTGGGAGCATCATCTTAAGTGCTTTACTGTGTTCTTTTATCAGTTACCCCAGCAACGTCATGTGGTAGTTACTACGTTTAATGGTAAGGAAATGCTCACAGAGGGATTAAATAAATTGTCCAAATTCAGAATTCAAACTGTATCACATCCTAAGGGATTTTTTCCCCCTTAAACCATGCTTAAATATTTCATTTCACAAATACATTGTTTTAAAATATATTTAAAATTAGCTTTGGAGAGCAAGAAATGAATGCCTTAATTACATATGGAGCTTGGGGAATTTTTCTTCACAAGCCCCCTTACAAAATGGGTAACTTAATGTTAACAGTAATCTGCTATATAGGCATTTGCAGATAAAGACCTGTAGCTAGTAAATAGAAAATGAGATTTTGGAGCTCAGGTTTACATTGTTAGTGCCCATGGTTTCCCTTCCACAACACAGTGCTCAGAAAAGTTAAACTTGCTGCCAAGTGATCTTTAGGCTCCAAAGGTCGCTATATATATATATTTTCTTTTTTAAAGAAGTTTTGCTGTTGTAGGACTTTGCCGTGTAACAAAGAATATATGTTGTCTCCTGACTAGTTTTACTTTTCCCTTAATTCCATTTATCCTAAATTTCATTTCTATGAGTGAAACTAACTAACCTCCTGCTTGAGAAAAAGTCACTTAATAGTTTGGAAATAGTCCTTAGAATCAGGTAGATGGGATTCAGATCCCTAATTCCTCGGGTAATTCACCTGTAAAACCGTATATTCCATTTCACAGGGGGTGAAATCAGTGACTTAGCGTATGCTATGGATGATCACACAAATGTGAATTCCTTGAAACCCTCTTCTCTCAAAATGAAATTTCAGGGAATGAAGTACACACGGACAAGGTCGTTCTAGGACTCAGGAAATTCTGAGAGCCCTTGGAGCCTAAAAATGAAGAGGCTGAAAGAAGCAGGTCCCCATATTCACACACGCCCAACCCCCACTCCAAGAAAATCACTGGGAAACTTTCACTTCTTTCTTTCCCCTCATGCTGTCCTCTTGCTTGTTATCTGAAACCTCAGTACGTTCACCTGGCTAGAAAACTCTAGCGGACGATAGAAATTTCTGATCTTGCCAAGAAATAATTATAGCTACGTGAAATAATCCAAAAAGGATAAACTGATAAATAAGAAATTCGTAGAGACGTTAGTGGACTCGAAACAACGGGGAGAATATCTGAATGTATGACGTGGTTTGTAAATGCAACCAACAAAGGTGATGTTGCGCCATCAGGTGCTGCTGGAGCCATTCGCAAGCTAACAGCAGCAAATTACAAAACGTAGTTTCGCTTTCTCGGTAATCCTTAATTTTTGTTTAGATTTAGGACGATTTACAACTCCAGACTTTGACCAAATGAATGGGATTATGAAAAAAATGTAAAGGAAAACAAAATCTCTCGAGGTAGTAGTGTGGAGGAGGAAGTATGGAGCTGTTTCTAGGTGAACTCTACCTAGAACAAGCCATTCAGAATAGCCAGGGGAAGGTGCGTGATGCAGTTACGGACATCACAAACTATAGGGTAAGAAGCAATATATCGCGACATTTTGATAAAGACCTAGTCTTTTTATTCAGTAAGTCTAAAGAGTTACAGATCTTCAAAGGACCACGTGGGTGGCTCTTAAAAGAGCCTTTGGGTTTAGCAGTACCTCTCGATCTATTTACTTGGAGCTGGTGTACTTGGTGACGGCCTTGGTGCCCTCGGACACGGCGTGCTTGGCCAGCTCCCCGGGCAGCAGCAGGCGCACGGCCGTCTGGATCTCCCTGGACGTGATGGTCGAGCGCTTGTTGTAATGCGCCAGCCGCGACGCCTCCCCCGCGATGCGCTCGAAGATGTCGTTCACGAAGGAGTTCATGATGCCCATGGCCTTGGACGAGATGCCGGTGTCGGGGTGGACCTGCTTCAGCACCTTGTACACGTACACGGAGTAGCTCTCCTTGCGGCTGCGCTTGCGCTTCTTGCCGTCCTTCTTCTGCGCCTTGGTCACCGCCTTCTTCGAGCCTTTCTTCGGGGCCGGAGCTGACTTGGCTGGTTCCGGCATATTGAAGGCAAAGATATCAGTTCCAAATGATGGGAAACAATGCTCTTAAGAGAACAAATGAACTTAGTATTTATGCGATCTACATGCAAATTAGGGATGGCAAGTTCTGATTTCTGATTGGTTCTTCAGTATCTACTACCTGATAGGCTATTTCTTGATTCCGAACTCTCATTGGCTCTTCCCTAGCTCAACCTTAAATAACTTGACCTTTCAACTATAGCCACTATTTAAATTAGAAGAGGTCTTCCCCCCCGCCCCCCGTACTCCAGCCCTACTTTTTGATTGGCTGAAATTTGTGTTCAGCCAATCGCTTAGGGTATTTTATCAAACTCCTGCAGAGTATAACTGCCTAGCTGCTTGCACCTTGCCAGAATCAATCTGGTTTTTCTGAATATTCATTTCGATACGTCATTATGTCGACGCGGAAAGCAGGGGGGCAAGGCTCGCGCCAAGGCCAAGATCCGCTCTTCCCGGGCCGGGCTGCAGTTCCCCGTGGGCCGTGTGCACCGCCTGCTCCGCAAGGGCAACTACGCCGAGCGGGTCGGAGCCGGCGCGCCCGTGTACCTGGCGGCGGTGCTGGAGTATCTGACCGCCGAGATCCTGGAGCTGGCGGGCAACGCGGCCCGCGACAACAAGAAGACGCGCATCATCTCGCGCCCCCTGCAGCTGGCCATCCGCAACGACGAGGAGCTCAACAAGCTACTGGGTAAATAAGTCACCATCGCTCAGGACGGCGTCCTGCCCAACATCCAGGCCGTGCTGCTGCCCAAGAAGACCGAGAGTCACCACAAGGCCAAGGGAAAGTGAAGCAATCGAGATGTTAGTGTGTAGTTACTGTCTTTTTATGCAAAGGCTCTTTTAAGACCCATTCACATTTTCACATAAAAAGCTTGCAACTGATTGTAAGAGTCATGATTTTACATTCTGTGCGACTTAAAGACAGTTGTAGGTCTTCAATTTTTTCAGGTCACTACTATACTGTTATTTAGGCGTCCTTTGCTTGAATGTGGTCTAGGAAAATTAGTACCAAAAAAAACACAAACAAAAAATATTTAATATCTGGAGTAAGTACTTTAGCATAGTTGGGAGTTAGCAAGCTTTAGCAGCGTTTACAAAACCTTATAGTGTTTAGATGGACAGGTTCACTCCAGTGCACCTTCACCAGTGTTCACTAGGTCAAACCAACAGTAAAGAACTAGGGGGCTTTAGGGAAAACAAGTTACTCTGGTACCCTGGAATGTCATTAGGACCCAGTGAAAATGGCAAGGCAATAGGATCATTGTTAAAACTAAAATCAGCCAGGTCAGTTACTCAGTTTTATTTTTTACTTTTATTTTCTAAATTTTAACATCAATATACAGTGCAGCTGATTTTCGTGTCCCTTTACCAATTCTTCCTTTTTCTCCCTTCCTCTCCCGCCTCCCCCCCTCAACATATCTGTTCACAAGTTCAAGAAATTGTTATGACTGTTGTGTTTTCTTCCCCTTGTTGGTTTATTTATTTGTTTGTTTGTTCCCACAATAAGTGAGAACATGCGATATTTCTCTTTAGCCGGGGCATTTCAAATTCCGAACCGAAGCAAAATGTCATTTGAGCTCTGAACATACAGAAGTCAATGAACATTTGTTGAGCCTTGTTGTGTGCCTGTCTTTTACGGCCAGGGGCTTTCCCCGTGATGTCCCAAGGTACTCCACCCAGAAATCCTATCATAAGTAAAAGGTTTCAGAATGGAGTTAGGAAGTGGCAGTCCGAGGACTTGGAAAAAAAACAAAAAACAAAAAATACAAGTATTGTAAAATCTATTCTCAACGCGGTGTCCTCAGAATCTCCGGCCCCACCACACATCTACTGGATCACAATTAGTATATTTCCAGATCTTCAAGTGGTTCTTTATGGACATTAAAGTTTGAGAAGCGCGGAATTAAATCTTTAGAAAATTAACTCTCGTGCATCGCAGACTATAGCAAAGAGGAAATTGGAAGTCGGAGTAATTCATCCAATCAGAATCTCCAGTAATTCACAAATCTCGTCGTTGACTCTTCAGCCAATGGTTTCATTGCGCGGGGCATTTGAAAAGCAGCAAGGCCAATCAGGATGTTTCTGAGGATATATAAAGGCAAGTCTCTCTTGACTTATTTGCCAATTCCCTGTGGTTTAACTTGGAGATGGCCCGTACAAAGCAGACGGCTCGCAAGTCCACCGGCGGCAAGGCGCCCCGCAAGCAGCTCGCCACCAAGGCAGCCCGCAAGAGCGCGCCGGCCACCGGCGGCGTCAAGAAGCCCCACCGCTACCGGCCCGGCACCGTGGCCCTGCGCGAGATCCGCCGCTACCAGAAGTCCACCGAGCTGCTGATCCGCAAGCTGCCGTTCCAGCGCCTGGTGCGCGAGATCGCGCAGGACTTCAAGACCGACCTGCGCTTCCAGAGCTCGGCCGTGATGGCGCTGCAGGAGGCCTGCGAGGCCTACCTGGTGGGGCTGTTTGAGGACACCAACCTGTGTGCCATCCACGCCAAGCGCGTCACCATCATGCCCAAGGACATCCAGCTCGCTCGCCGCATCCGTGGGGAAAGGGCGTAAGGCATTCTCTGTTAAATCCAACACAAAGGCTCTTCTAAGAGCCACCTACTTCCTCGCTAAAGCAGCTGTAATTGCCCAGTCGATTACATGGTAAATTACCTTAGACAACTGTGTAGTTTTCCAGAAACGTTTTGAATTTGAGACATTCAGTTGAGGGTCTGCTTTATGTGTAGCCGTGTGAACTTGCTTGATTAACTCTGGCAGTGTCCTGGAACTGCTAGATCACAAGCTTTTAAAGCATACTTTTCTCATTAGCTGGGAGTTTTGAGGTATGCTTGGACTTTAGTAGCCGGTGTGGGCCGAATGGGTTGTCGTCTTAGGCGGTTTGAAAGAAGTAATGAAGTGTGAAGTCTTCACAGCTTGAGAGGCTTTTCCTTTTACCCACGAAAGTTTAGGTTCGGGTGAATAGGGGAGGCGTGGTTTTGCAATTTAGTCCTAAAGGTTCTTAGGTTTTGGCATTGACATTTGAGAAAGGTGGAGGTGTGAATATGTGGACATCGTTTGAAACCAAGTAATTTCCTCAATCCCCATCTGTATACAGATAAAGCAGCTTTTAGTGTTTCTGTCATATGGCTCATGAAAAATTACAGCACTTGCTGGCCGGTTAGCTCACTTGTGTAGAGCATGTTGTGTAGACCAAGGTCAAGGGTATGGACCCCTTACTGGCCAGCTGCCAAAAAATAAAGGATTACAGCACTCCATCCAGATCTAATGATTTTATTGATGACAACCCAAAGCAAATTGGTGGCTTCTACACTCTTGCTACTCAGGTTGTCTACCCACTGGCAGCATAGTAAGTACCTGGGAGCTTGTTAAAAATATAGATTATCAGGCCTCACCCAAGGCTAGAGTAAGAATTTGTATTGTGCCAAGTTTGCCTCGGGTGATACTTGTGAACACTAGTTTAAGGAGCCAAGTTTAATGTCATTTTTGGTCTCATCAATAAAAGCAGCTTGCCTGTGAACTCTCACCACGAGTGAACCTTTGCAAACTGCTTGGGTCGTTTACATAACAAACATTGTCTGAAGAAAGTGCGCATAACATGGAGCCCCTAAAATAGTTTGATTTCATTATAAATCAGCGGTCTCAATGTGATGTTACAGTCACTTGGGGGAGCTTTTATAAAAATATCTTTTCCTGAGGCCCAGTCAGGAATAATTTAATTGGAGTCTATGGAATGTGGGCCCAGGCAATAGTGATTATTAAAACTCAAGTGCTAGGGCCGGCCAGTGGCTCACTCATGAGAGCGCAGTGCTGATAACACCAAGGCCATGGGTTAAGATCCCCTTACCCGTTATCTTTAAAAAAAAAGAAAAAAATAATAATCTCAGGTGCTTCCAACAGGTAGCAGATGCTGAAACTCAATGCTACATGAATTTCAGTCCTGAAATTAGCTCCTGTTTGACTTCAGGTTTAACAAGTAGTTATCGATGAGGGATCTTCAAAAGATCTATAGAAAGATTAACATTATCTTTAAATCTATTTTTCCACAAACTTTTGGAAGTAACGCTTGTAATTGAATCAGGCTTTCCCTGTATTTTGCCTTCAGAGAGAATATACTGGTCTTCAAGAGAGGATTTTCTAGCTTGCTTGACAACTGTTCTATCTCACTGCAATGAGACAAATAGCACCTGGCTTTTATAGCAATTTCTCAGGGCAAGGCTAATGTGAGCGTATGCTGAGACAACGAGCTGCTTCCAGTGACTGGCACTATCAAGTTTTCAGGGATGTGACAAGGAAAAACAGACATTATCCTGGGTGTCTTGGCAGACCAAAATAACTTCCTGTTTTCACATGGGGCCCTTTCTGTACAGATTAGTGCAAGTCCTGTTTGGGTACCCAGCTGGTCCTTCTCCATGGCTTTTATTTAGCAATTTATAATTTTTCTCAGATATTGTTTTCATTTTTTAAAAACTTTATGTGACATTTTAGAATATATGGAAAAAGATAATGGTTTAATAAATCTATGTACCTCTCATCCAGCTTCAATTTATCCTGTGCCATTTCATCCCACTGCCTTGATTATTGTAAAGCAAATATCATTTCATCTCTCAATATTTCAATATGTATCATTTAAAAACCTAATTATAATGTCATCATTACTCCCCCAGCAAATAATATTTCTTTAACATTGGCGAATTTTAAGATTTTTTTGCTCAAGATATATTTGTTGAGAGTTTACAATGTGTAAGATGTTGACCTTTGCATTGGGAATACATCTGGAGAACAAAACAGACTAACCAGATACGTAGATATCATATGTCACATGTTAGATGATGAGAAAGAGAAAAAGCAAGAATTAGGAGTGTCATGGGGAGCTGAAATTTAGATAAGGTGAGCAATAAAGACCTCGCAGAAGATAATATTTCAGCAAAGAGCTGAAAAAAGTGAGGAAGCAAGCTGCATGGAATCTGCAGGGAGATGAGAAGGAAGAGAGCTAATGAGGTAGGGCAGAGTGGGGACGCGCCCCGGGGAGGCTGCACATAAATACTCAGGATCGGCCACGGTCGGTGCACTAGGTGGGACAGGAGAGGCAGAGGTCGGCCATTACGAGTTTGCAAGTGGGACGGAGAGGATGGAGAAGGTTGGGGGCATGTGTGTCTCTCTCTGGTGGAGATGCCTGTGCACTTTGGCAGATACTTCTGCTTGGTAATAAAGCCCTATTGTGTTCTAATTCTCTGTCTCTTTCTTCCTTTCCTTTTGCCATTCCACGAAAGATTCTTCTTTCATGGATCAAGAACCTGTATATGTCGCCCGGTAACAGTAGCTACCAGGGTGGCTATGTGGAATGAGCAGAGGACAACAGGAGACGAAACTGGAGAAACAAAAGGAAGCCAGATCATGTAGGGGCTTGTAGGTATAGAGGGAGACTAATTTTCTTTAACACTTCTGTAGATTCTTTGTTGAAATGGGCCCCTGTAACAAAACACGGATTAACGAGAGAAGAACATACAAATTTATTAACATGTTTAAATTTTACATGCACATGGAGACAGCACTTTGAGTTCTACCTCATGGCATATTCAACAAACGTAAGTAACTTTTTAGAAAAGTGAGAAGACAAAGGAAAAAGACTGAGTCTCTAAGGGCAGCATCTTGGGGGGGAAGGCAAATAAATGGCAGATGAAGG